TTGGATTCAGAATCTTCATTTTGGCAAGACACTCAGGACCCCTTTGAGAGGCACTCATTGTTCTGGAACCCTCTCGTCAGGCTGACGTATGTCAGTAAATGAGTATCATGGGAGGTGGCTGTGGAGGGAAGAGGGCAGTGATTCACTTGGTTGGATCCTCACATACACACAGTCTGCCTGGAATTTCCCCCACTCCCCAAAGCAGGCCAGGCAGGGCCCGCTCTGTGTAGGCATGAAGGCTGGATATTAATTTTAACCTGCTCTTGCTTCTGTGTAAATGCCAGGAAAGGGAGCATGTGTGGAAGGAATGGGGCGGGGGGAGAGGCCTATGGGATGATGTGCTGTGGACTCATCACCCCCTTATATGTGGCCGAGGACCCTTTGACAGGCCATGTTATAGTCACCGTGTAATAGTTTTCCCTCCTTACAACGGTCCAAGAGTTAGGACTTGTTGACCCCACTTTACAGATGGGGAAACTGAGACCTGTGTGGTTCAGGCTTGCTTGAGGTCACCCTGCCAGCAAAAGCGTGCACTTTCATCATACTGCTTTGTTCCCCATAACCCTGCCCAGATCCCTGAGCTATCAACACTCACACTGTGAAAAGGACACCCAGAAGGCTGCAGAGCAGGTGTTTTTTTGTGATTATTCACAAAAGGAAAAACCACCACCACAGAAGAGAAGGCTGGGCCTCTTATATTTCACAAGGAGTAGGAATTGACTGGGCTATTTGCCTCTTAAACAGGCAGGCACCGCAGGGCAGAATTCGCAGATCCACAGCCAGACCTGCTGCTGCATAAGGTTTAATCATTAAACGATAGGGTGGCCTTATTTAAAAGCAGACCATTTTATAAGGCACACGGTGCCGTCTAGACTTAGGAACACGTATGGAAGTGGCTGTGCAGCATGCTGGGCTCAGACGCCTGAGTTCCCAGCTTCAGTCATTTTGAAGGCAGAGTGGAACCTCTCTGACTCGTGCAAGAACAAGTTAGACCCGTTTTGTTTTTTTTGAGGGTGTCTGATTTCAGACATTTGGTAATCCCTTCCTGCTGGGTCCTTTCCTTCCCTCTTTCTTTGTAGATGTAGGTGAGGACTGAGGAAAACTGGAGAGGAGGCTTTCTCCACGATATTGGGCATCTCTGTGTGTTTCTTTGGTAGCCTTTGGCCAACAAGGGCAAGGATGTAATTATTTGTGTAATTTTTGCTTCTTGTCCTTGTCCTCTCATTTCTGCCCCCACCTTGATGTCTGGTGCAGGATCATGTTGGATCATGCCATCCCGGCCCTGTGATTAGTACCTGGTGGGAGCTCTAAAGGATTGAGTGTGTGAACGAACAATCAAAATCCAGAAAGGCTGAAGTGGGTATCTTGAGTCAGAATTTTGTTTCTAAGTGGGAACATTTGATCCCCCGTTCACCTGACAACCATCAGAGGCAGGAGGGGGAAAATGGTCCTGAGGTTGCTTTTGGAGTTCCATTTGTTCATCCTCCTGTCTGGTCTCAGAATCAGGAGCCCTAATGCTCATGTGGGCCCCAGCTGCTCAGAGTTTCCTGACATTTCCAATGCAAGTACAATTTAAAGACCCAGGAGAGAGATTCTCCTGCCCTTTATGTCCTTGGGGGACAAATGTGGTCTCCATCAGGAGGAACTCAAGTGTGTTCCCAGGATGGAGGGAGGGAAGGAAAGCCCTATTTATGGGGTGTTCTCTCTGGGTGAAACATTCTGACATTTATTGAGCACTTATCGTGGGCCTGGCATGTTCTGAGCCATTTAATCTTCCCTGGGACCCATGAGGCAGGTACTGTATTTCCCTACTTGACAGATGAGGAAACTGGAGCACAGGGAGGTTATGCAACCTGCCCAAGGTGGCACAGCTGCTGAGTGGCTTTAGCCAGGACTCACAGCCATGTCCTTAACCATCATGTCACTCTGCTTCACTGTGTGCTGGCTCAGTTCTTCCTGCAACTTCACAAAGGAGGCCCTGTGTTATGTCACAGGAGTTGCATGTGTAGAACTCATTCTCCTTTTAAAATAACGCTTCAAAAACGTGACAGCCATTCTCAGCTCTCTGGGTCCTATGGAAACAAACTGGGAACTGGACTTGGCCTCAGGCTGAATATGCAGCAGACAAAGAAGCAGGATGATTTCAAATGGTGCAGGAACGGTATAGAGAGAGTATGAGGCCTGGAGTGGCCTTATGTGCCTGAGGGGTCAGGGAGGGCCTCCCTAAGGGACCATGGAGCTGAATCTTGAGTGATAAGGACGTAAGGTCACGGTATGTAAAGCACTTAGCACGGTGTCTGTACCACATATTAAGTGCCTCACGATTGCCTGCTGTTATTTCTAGCTTATTGTTCCTGTGGTTGGCCAGTAATTGGCTCTGTGACCTTGGGCGAGCTATCTCACCGCTCTTGGGAGTTGAATGTCTCCCTCTGGCTTTGACAGTTGCCCAGTTCTAAGTGATTTCTAGCATTTGTCTCCTCCTGACTTCCCACCATCCCTTTGAAATAGGGGGCAGAATGAGCCCTCTTTTACATTTTCAATAGAAGATTCATTGTCTGAAGAGGGAAGCTTTTGTGGAAGGACAACCACCAGGGTTATTAACATTTGTGGAGCCCTTTCAGTTTCCTCAGTGCCGAGTGAGGTTTTATTAGAATGTGGACGCTTTCCTATTCAGACTGGGCTGCAAGCAGCCCCCTGGCAGATACACCGTGGGACCGTTGGCCTCTTGCTCCACTGTGGGGGGGAACTGACAAGTGGGTTATTTTCTTACCCCCCCCAAGAATGTTGCCACCCTCTCCTGAGCCCTCGATGGTGAAAAGAATTGATTTCTATTGTCACTTGACAATAAGACCTCGCCAAGGCCAAGTTCAGCTGGCTGCATAATCAAAGGGGTGGTCTCTCCCCTTGCCCGTCTTTGGTTCATGGAGGAATGCAGGAGTGGGTCCAAGAGCCACCCACATCCTCCACGGCCTGTGTGTGTTCACTGTCTGCTCCCTCTAAGAACAAGCTCCCAGGATCGTAGGCCCTACTCAGAGGAAATAAAGCCTTCCAGTCATATCTTTACATTTGACGTAAGCAAAGGCAGGCTTTTCTTGCTGAGTGCTGAATGGGGTTGTCATGAGGGCCTGGGGTAGCTGGGGGGCCTGGCACCCTCCTGAAAAGGGGCCTTGAGCCTGGAAGCTCATTCATCTCTGTGCAGCCTCCTTTCATCCGGCCACGTGGTCCACCCGCAGGCTGAGGGAGGATGCCGCCTGGCCCTGGGCTTACAGCAGGGCGTCCTGTGTTTCCTATCTGCCTCCTCTATTTCTCTGTTGCCCACGGAGGTAGGATGCCAGAGAAGTCTTAAGTCATCTTCCTGACGTGCCTGCCTTGGCAGTGTGGTTTGACTGCAGTGGTTCCTGTTCTTTTTGCTCCAATTCCACTGTCACTTCCTTGGTCTGGCCAGTATCACCCAGGACCATCGACCCCTCCCCTCTCCGCCTTCCTTCCTGCCTTTTCTCTTTTCCTCTCCATCTACCTTCCTGCCTGCCCACACTCCATGTTTTCTCAGGCCAGCCACACACCAGGCCTTGTGTGACACACTGGAGACGAAGCAGTGAGTAAGAGCCCCACTGCTGCAGAGTTAAGGAATGATGCCAATATGGATTTAATGACAACCGGGGAAGGTTCTGTGAAGGAGAAATACAGGGACCCGATAGTTGATTTCATCAGCAGATAGCAAAAACAAGAGTAAGAAGAACTTCCCAATTCTTGTCGAGTCATAGGTGGACAGATGGTAGTTTAGAAACATTTCCATGTATAGTGCTGCACGGGGATCTGGTGCAAGTCTGAAGTTGCAGATGCTCACAGATGGGATTGCATTCCTGCCGGGCCGCCTGTGCTTGACCCTGTGATAGTCGAGGTGTGGCCCTGGGCTGCTGATAACAGGGACTTTTTTCTCCAGAGCACTTCAAGCCTTGGGAATCCAGAGGGGTGGTTTTTACTTCCTGTCATCCAGGAAAGGGTGCTAAGGTGAGAGCTGAGGTCACAAGGGGATCAGTTTGGAGGGAACTAAGCAGGCTTTCAGAGCTGGCAGTAGACTGCTTGGCAGGCTTCCTTGTTACTTGTGGATAACTCCCCCACCAAAGTAGTTTTTGCCCTCCTTAGAGCCAAGGCGAATTAAGTTACCAACCAGCTTGTTTATGAGCAGAGATGAATCCATTGGCAAGCCTATTTTTCCCTTATTAGATTCCCATTGTCATTTAATGCCTTTTTATTTATGTGTTTCTTTTGAGTAATTGCTCTGTGTCTTGGCCCTGGCAATTCTCTGCAGTTTGGATTTGCAGACGACATTGGCACGGAGCTTTTGGAATCAGTTGGGGCTGAGCAGGGGATCTAGCTGTTGCTTCCTTGTTTGACTGATTTTTCTCTAGCAGAGCCTTTCCGTCACATCACGTGCTAGCAAAGGTACCTTAGTGAAAGGAGGGATGTAGGGAGGATTTGGCTTCTGAGCAATGGCATCAGCACAGCATAGGCCGGCGACTCGGAACCCAAGAGCTGGTCTCGAGATAAACCACGCAATAAAGCTTTTTCTAGCCATTGCTGTGGCAGCTGCATAGTGGGGCTGAGTGATGCTAATTTCACCTATCTATGTTTAGTCATCGACATCCTGTAAACTGAGCTCTCGTTTTTTCTTTTTTCAAAAGATCAGGATTCCTAGAGTAAATGAATCTGGCCCCATGAAGCAGCCCCCTGCTTTATGAAAAAAACAAAACAAAACAAAAAAACAAAAAAATCCCACCATCCCAAACCCCAGGCTGTTAAAACCTGATGTTTTCTGTTGTCTGGAGAAGGGTGTTTTTGCTATAAATGAAAGACGTGACGGGGTATTTCAAAGCTTTGTTTTGGTTATTGTCGGTTCTGCCAACATGTAACATCTGTATTTATTTTCCAAACTCTCCCAATGACTGATTTGCATCTGTTTAGTTCTCTGAGTAACATTTCATTTCCTGACTTTATAGGTTGCTATAAAATCCATTCGTAAGGACAAAATTAAGGATGAACAAGACATGGTTCACATCAGACGAGAGATTGAGATCATGTCATCCCTCAACCATCCTCATATCATCAGTATTTATGAAGGTCAGTGATTTTTTTTTTCACCCCCGTATCCGTTACCATTTCTCATACCATGGGGCTTGCCAAGATCTTTAGGTAATTGCCCTTCTGGGCAGGAGCCAAGTATTTTTCTTCATGATGCAAAAATAGCCGGGTGTGATCTCTTATTTGGTTACATTGAGTGCAAGCACACACGTATAGCACAGCTCACTTTGGCCATAAAATAGCTCTGCCAGGTGCCTTCCTCTGTCTTCCCAGTTCCTTGGCGGTTGCTAAGCAACCCACCTTATTGAAAGCCAGTATGTGAGACAGCCATGGTTTCTGGAAGGTGACAGTTTGCTGAGTGACCAAGGAATGGTGGATCCACTGTCAGTGTCATTTCCGAAAGCTGAGGCTTCAGGGGTGGGGTCATAAGTTATTCAAAGTTGGCCTCTTTGAATTAGGAATTAGCTTCCAGCAGGTCCAAGCAATACTGAGAAAGAGGGATCTGTTGGTGTGACAGATGCTTTGCAAATGTAGTTCAAATTGTTGGTGTTTGTAGAAGGGCAGGGAGGGAAAAGCTTGTAAAAGTGCTCATGCTTCAACTCTTTGGTCCACCATGGGAAGAAATGGCGAGTATAAACTTCCCACAGCCTATCATTAAAAAGAATCCTTTAAAAAAATTACACAAGCAATATGTATTTATGGCAGAAATGATGGAAATATAACTGTTAAAATAAAAAAAAACTCTGTTCTAACACTCAGTTTGATAAATAGCTCTCTAAGCATATTTATATTTTTATCTATTCTTTATATCTGTATATGTTTTTTATACAAAGTTAGACCATACTGTTTATACTGGTTTTAGCTTGATTTTTTTCCCCCACTTTTTATACCATGCGTCTCTTCCTATGTCAATAAATATTCCTCTATAAGGACATATTAAAAAGTTTTATAGTATTCCATTTATAGACATACCATAATTTATTGAATCTATTTCCTTTTGTCAAATATATAAATCGTCTCAAATTTCTGGTTATTATAAACAGGGCTTTAGTGGCTCTCCTTGTACATCATTTTTTACATTCATTTCTGATTATTTTCTTATGAAAAATTCCTAGTCTTGAGCTTATTGAGTCAAAATGTTTCTGCAGAATATTTTTTAATATACGGTTGAGTCAGACAAGTAAACCTATTTTAAGTTTCTGGTCTGAGCGTCATGTTATATAGCAAAGGCCAAGAGGAAAGCAGATGGTAACTCTAAAATTTTTCTGATAGTTCGGGTTTTCCTTCTTCTGGTTCTCTGCTGGTTTGGCTATTCTTTTTTTCCTGCTGTTTCTATTTTTGCTCCTCATCGAGAAGTAGGTGCTGGTAATATCTTTTATCTTGATTTTTCCAAAGCTCATTAGTGGGTCCCTTGGGGATAGGATTTTTAATGGAAATTTTCATTCAGTCAGTCTTTTATTCATTCCACAAACATCTCATGCAGTGGGTCTCAAAGTGCAGTGCTTATAGCCGCAGCGTCATCATGAACTGGGATGGTTAGACATGCAGAGTCCCAGGCCCCACCCAGGACCTGCTGGAATAGACCTGCTGTAATACAACAGAATATGTTGTAAGTGACACATTCTGTGACCGTGGTGGCCCAAGCTTAGAAGTTTCCATGGAAATACATGGCATCCAGGCTGGCCCTTGAAGGAGTCTTTTTGAGGAAGATTTGGCAAAAGTAGAATTCTAGGCTAATAAAAACAAATCTGAATATGCCTGATAATTGAGGAGAAATTCTAGAAGTTAGAAGTGAGTCAAGATACCAACTAAGAGGATGAGAGTGAGTTGTATTAAATTCAGGGTGTTTTTGCTCTCTGTGGCCCAGTACCCTGGAAACATGAAGGTGGTTGTGCACAGTGTGGACCAGTGTGGGTCATGTGCTCTGTGAGCACTGCTGTATTTGAGATTTCTTGGCCTCACTCAAGCAGGAGGCTTCTTTACCAGGGAGGCAGAGAGACTGTAAATCCAGCGCTTTATTTGGGAGTCAGTCTGGTCACTGAAGTCTGGCATCGAGAAGTGACTTGATGAGTGACTTCCTCACTAGCATCATGCCCTCTTTGGCCCTGGGAATCCTTCAGGCCGAATGGGGAACAGGAGTTTGTCTCCCACCCAAGGAAAGGCCAGAGGTGACCCTCAATGGGAAAACATTCTATTATCAAGAACAAATTGGCCTCAGTCCAGCCTTTGCTGGAGGCTCAAGAAGAGAAGCCCTAGCTTATAACTTTAAAGATGGGTACCAGCATGAATTAAAGTTCTTTGGGTGACTAGAAGTGATTTCCACCAAGGCCTCAGGAGAGAGCTTGGGCTTCAGTTCATAAAGCCCTTAGAACTGGGAGTCAAGAAAGAGCCTGAGTTCTCACACCAGACATGAGACTCTGGGCAAGATGGTGGGCCTTTCAGTGCCTCAATTACTGCACCTATAAATGGGGATAAGCATTGTACCCCTCACCTAGGGTTCTCAGTAGGATTAAATGAGCTGATACAAGTACTGGTTAGCTCAGAAAGGTCATTGTGATGAAGACCCCATAATCATCATAAGTGGTTCTTAACCTGGGTGCATTGACAAGGGTATTTCGTGGTTGTGCTGCAGGGGTCTGTAAATCCTTTGAAATAGTATATAACTATGTTGCCCAATACAGAAGCCACTAACCACAGTTGGATATTTAAATTAAAATTCATTGAAATAAAATCATTAAAAATTCAGTTCCTCAGTCACACTAGCCACATTTCAAGTGGCTCAACAGCCACATGGGGCTAGTGGCAGCCATACTGCACAGTGTGGATATAGAACATTTTTGTCATTGCAGGATGGAACTGTGTTGGTGTATAATGTGTTAATAAGTTCATGGGTTATTTTTTTCTAGGTAGGGGGTGAATGCTTAGCTTTTAGCAGACTCTCAGAGGGATTCCTGACCTCAAACAGGTTAAAAAGAAACCCACCACCTTTAAGTGTTTTGTGGCCTTAAGAGTACCATGCAAATAAAAAGGAATTGTTTTAATCCAGAAAATTCCCAGGGACTTAAATGTGGCTCTCTTTTTCTTTCAAATTCTTAGAGATTTCCAGTTTCTTTTCTGTTCTCTTTCCCTTCTCCCACGCAAGTTGTCTTCCACATCTACTAAATAACTGTGGAGGAGGGCAGCTCGCCTCCCGTCCTCTGGGATTGGGAACAGGCAGTGACCAAGGCACTGTTTCAGCTCTTACACCTTTAACTGGGACCCCACAATCGCCAGGTCTTATGACTCTTATCTGCTTCACTACCCAGGACCCCAAGATGCCACTTCCGGAGTGAAGTTAGACATCCTAACGTCACGTGTAGAACTCTGTCATTTACAAAGGTCTCCCACCTTTAGTCTCATTTGATCCCTACAGCACACACGGGAGGTGGGCAGGCCAGGTGTTCCCATTTTGTAGTTGTGGAAACTGAGGCTCTGGAGGGTTAGTGACTCACTAGGTGTGTTAGTTTGCTAGGGCTGCTACCACAGACTGGTTGGCTTAAACAATAGGAATTTATTTTGTCTCCGTTTTGGAGGCGAAGTCCAAGGCCAAGGTGTCAGTAGCGTTGGTTTCTTCTAAGCCTCTCTCCTTGGGTGGGGCCTTGGTAAAGGGCATGCCTAGCATGCACAAGGTCCTGGGTTCAATCCCCAGCACCACAATTAAAAATAAATAAAACCCTAATTACCTCCCCCCTCCCAAAGTAAATAAATAAATAAAAATACGGCATCTCTCCTTGGCTTGTAGATGGCGTCTCCTCCCTGTGTCTTCTGTATGTGCCTGTGTCCACATTTCTCCTCCTTAGGATACTGGTCATATTGGATTATAGTCCAGCCTAATGACCTCATTTTAACTTAATTGCCTCTTTAAAGACCCTATCTTCAAATTGAGCTACATTCTGAGGAACTAGGTGTTAGGACCTCAACATACGATTTTTTTTAGGTACATTCAGCTTATGCTGGCTAGTTGGTGGCCCTGGCACATAGGTCTTCTTACCCATTTTGTAAGGGGAACCTTCTCTCTGGAAGCTGGTTGATTGTTTGACAAGCCAAGCAGGAGTCTTGGTGCAGAAGTGTATTAATTTGCTTGGTGAAAAATCAATGCCCAGGCACTTAAGTGACTGGACTTTAACCAAATGAAGTTTACAATTTCTTCTTCAACAAGGACCTTTGTGACTTAAACACACACACACACAAACACACACACACACTGCAGCAGCAGCAACATGACAAATCAGTGATGCACCTAACCCTGTTATGCTTCGGACCTTTGGGCTTTCATGAGGGGAAGTCACCAGTTTGGACTGTGTAATCTGGGGATAGTGAAATAGCTAGTTTCAGAGAAAAACTAATTCACTCATTTAAAAAACCCACTAGTTAAGTACCAACTATGTGCCAGGTCCTGTTCTAGGCGCTAGGAGGGCAAAGATGAATAAGACAAACTCTGGGCTCATGTTGCTGACATTCAGTGAGTAGGCAAGTGAACAGATAAGTGACTTTTGAGCTAAGACCTGAATGGAGTGAGGAGTCCTTTATTCCAGGCAGAGGGAAGAGTATGTGCGAATGCTCAGAGGAGGAAAACAGCTTGTTTTGGTAGAAGTGACAAAGGGCCTGTGAGGCTGAGGGACCCGATAGGGTGGCAGGAGAGTGGAAATTGGAGAGGGCCAGGTTTTGACCATATTGGCTAAAGGAGAGAGTGTGGATTTTATAACAGGAATAGAGGAAAGTCACTGGTTTTGAGGAGAGAAGTAACATTTTAAAATTTAAATTTAAGACACTTGAAAATAATCCTAATAATAGCTAGAAGTTATTGAATGTTTCCCCTGTGCTAGGATATGTGCACGTTATTATCTCATTTAATCTTTATATCCATGAAGTACTAATTGTTAACATCCCTATGTTATGGAAAGGAAAATTCAGCTTAGAGCTGAAGTGCATTATCCAGGGTTACACCAACTACTAAGCAGCGGTGGATCTGAGAGTCTAACTCAGTCAGTGACTCTCTGCAGCCGGTGCTCCTGTTAACTGAGCAGGTCGGTTGGTGTCTGCGGTGACCTCTAACTGGGGCAAGCATTGTCCTAGACCCTGTGATACAGAGAATTCCTGGCCTTCTTACAGGTCACTGTCTTAAATATGTGAGAGCATTAAATCCCACCTTGGTGGGTATTTTAGAAGACAGTTCTGCATACATCTCAGGAAGAAGTTTGGGGCCTCCCATCCGGTAAACTTATAGGTCAAGTATTTTCTAAGTTGCAGTTCATGGACGTGTTAAGTTATTTGTATGTTACTCATAATACCCGCAGGCTCATAAAATCTGTGACTTCACTGAATCATTGCTTCTGTTCACCAAATCTCAAAAATAATTCCTTTCGAATATTTCTTTCTCCATCCAGACCCTGGGGTTACTCTCCTGTTGACCTGTAGGTGAAGGTGATTGACCCTCAAATTTGTCAACTCTGTGTAAACACAATCCAAACTGGCTTTGAATGCTAAGTCAGTAAAAGAGGATAGACATACACCTTCTAGCGTGAGACTAAGGGTAACCTAATGAAGAGAGAAGAGGAAGGAAGAAATCTCTGGCACCATCTCGAGATGGACCCCTGTTTCCAGTCAAAGGAATTCCATCCTCTCAGCAGGGAGGTGATTGACAATATGGAAAGAACAGCTGAGAAGGAAGTGCCCGCCAGAGCTTTCAACTTGGTTGCCTCGGATGGAAGAGATAAAAACAGTTTTTGCCTGGGGTTCTGATTTCAGGACCCAAGCTCAAACATCAAAGGCGCATTGTCTCACCCGCATTTCCCCTTTGAAAGCCTAGGAGACTCAATCTGCAAAACCACGAACAGGCATCTTGCTGCACAGCACTTTAGGGAAACAGCACCCCATCTGGTAACAGTCTGGCACGTAAATGCGAAAAGGTGGGGCGTGGGGAGATTGGGCTGGTGCCTTCACTTTTATACTCCTTTTTTTTTTTGTTCCTGGAAATCTCTCTTCTTGGCCCTGCAAGATTACATCTCTTTCTTGGCCCTTTGTGTTGTGATATGCCGGAACTGGCCAGCCTTTCATCACATCCTCATCTCAGGTAAGGGTGAGCCTGGCTTTCTGGAACAAAGTAGGAAAGCAGTTTGACATTTGTCAGCTGTGATCTCTTGCCTTTGGGAGCATTTCTCAAACTTCAGAAACAAAATAGCAAGCAAATGTGTCTCTCTGAATAATCATGTGAGTCACATGCCCTAGCTCCACGAGCCTTAAACCTGCTGTTCATGAGAAGATGTCAAATAGTCTGCATTCTAGAAAATTCTCTGAATTCCTATCATGAAGACATTTTGGATGAGTTTACTATCAGTTCAAAGCTCTTCCCATCTTCCTAGAAGCATGCATTACAATATGCTTTTTCAAGCTACCTTTACCTCCTGAAATTCCGATAGTTCTTTCTGGAAAGGGATATAATTCTTGCCTCTTGATGAACATCACTATTTTGACAAGCCATCCCTGCTTTCTCCTCCCTCCCAGCTTTTGGCCAGAGGCAGTGGGGCGGGTGCAGGATGCTTCCATAGAACCCAGCTGAGATCCTGGAGTCAGAAACTATTGCTGCCCCAGGAAGAGAGCCCCTTGGGGATGGCAGGACCCAATCAACTACGTCATAATGCATTTGAGCACGGTTCTCGGAGGGGGACCCAGGACCCAGTCAGCTGCATCAGCATCACTGGGCCCCTCCCTAGACCCACTGAGCCAGAAACCCTGGGGGTGGGCCAAGTGTTCTCTGTAATAACCAGCCCTCCAGGCAGCTCTGATGAACTCTCAAGTTTGAGAACCACCATATTAGAAAAACCCCTGCTCAGTAGGTTAAAAGCCAAAACAGGGCTGCATTGCGAGCATCAGTGATTTGGAAACACTTAACAGGGGAGGCAGTCACACATTTTTCTTCTCTGGCTCAAGTGCCTTAATCCAGGGTTTTCAGGCAGCAAGCAGATCCCGATTTAGACCCCTTTGAAGACAGGGGACAGCTGAATTGATCTAACAGGGTCTGTGGGTCACTAATACTACCCACTGTTCTCATTCATTTGCTTAGTCATTCATCCATTTTACAAAAATGTAGTGAGCATCTACGCTCCAGGTAGTGTTCTAGCAGGACGAGTTTGTACTTACTGTCCAAATGGGCTTAGATTTGAATGAGTCAGTTGCTTTGCCAGTTGCTACCGTGTAACCTTGGGCTAGTGACAAACTCTCTGAGGCTCAGTTCCCTTAGCTCTAAAATGGGACCAATAGCCAACTACTTTATAGATAAGGTTGTGAGGATTAAACAAGATAATGAATAACATGGCTAAGCATCGTCCCGGGTACGTGCTCAATAAACCACATTGACTATTCCTGATGTGATGTTAGGGACCTGAGAGGTCCTTTCTGGCTGGAGTAGAAACTTCTATCGGGAGGTAGAAGAAGAGAAGATTGAGGCCAGATTGCCCATTCCAGTGATTCTGAACTCTGGATGCACGTCAGAATCTCATGGGGTGTTTATAAGAAAAAATGCTGACGCCTGGGTCTCAGCCCTGGGGACTTCAATTTAATTGACCAGACTGAGAAAGATGGGCCTAATCCCCCAACCGAGAGGAAATGAGTCCTGCTTTAGAATCTTGTCTTGGTCTGATCATTTGTCAACAGTTAATTCCAGAGAACAACGTGTGTCTGGCAGCCGTCACCAGTGAGCCGTGGGCGATACCTCCGGGCTTGGGTTTCCTTCCTTGGCCATTTGGTTGCTGCCCTCATCAGGGACTCAGAGCCCCTTGAAACAGTTTGTTGAACTTGGCAAAGCGGTGTATTATGCTTGTGTTTACTCTTTTGAACCCATGGCGAATCGCTGAGCATTTTAACACACTCCCTCTGCTGCCAGATTCCCAAGTTCCACATGAAGTCTCTTCCGACTGGATCCAAACAAAGGCCCCCGCCTCTGCTAATCACACAGCACCAGAGGGTTCACTTATAATCATGCGAACGAGCTCTTGCAATGTGAATCCGTCCAGTCACGTTTCTAATGAGCTTCCTATGAAGTTAGCTATTTGACCTTCAAGTGTATTATTTCCATTGTTTTCATTTGATTACACCCAAGTCATTTTTCTAGAGGCTGGAGATTAGAAATAAAACAACTGAAAATGAATGCTACTCCCTGGCTGTCCTGCCTCACCCTCTTGGGTTTCCTGGAATTCAATATTTTCCAGTGCCTCAAATAATACCACTTGTACTTGAAGGTAATTTTTAAAGGAAAGAAAAGGGAAAGAGAACTGTATTACCATGTCACATAGGGTCCTTTGAAATGAAGTGGGATGGCTCTGTTAATTTGCCAAGGCCGTCAACAGCATGCATCTAGGAAGGCTCCTGGAGTGTAGGAATGGGGTCTTTACAATGACTGTACCCTTCAGAGGGGCTTTGGAGACTGAAAGGGGGATTGGACTCGATGAACTGTAACTTCTAACTTTCAGAGCCTGGGATTTTTTTTTTGATTTGGGAATTTGTGCTCTGCCCTCTCCCTTATTTCTGACAGTGAGTTCATCTGGTAGGTACGGCTCTGAGTTTGACATCCACGCTCAAGAACACCACTGGGGACTGAAGAATGCTCCTTTGTTAAGAGAGCCAGGCTTGCCTCCACCTCTGGCTTTGCTGAGCCCTTCGGTGTAGTTCACTCTCTCTTCCGCGCCCCCACACCCTCCCATCCCTCAAGGGCACAAATGCAATCTCAACTGTGGGTTCTGCCAACACATATCCATACTAATTCTGAATTTGACCCAGGCTGCTTCTTCGTTTGTTCTTCTTTCTTAAATGAAGACTTGCTGCCTGACAATAACAGCTGACACTTACACGTGTGCTTACTACTGTGCACTGGGGTAATTCTCACAGTGTGGGATAGAAGCTTCATTTTCACAGATGAAGAAACAGGCAACAGAAAGTTTAAGTAACTGGCCAGGGTCACTCAGCTGGGTAAACGGCAAAACCTGGATTTGAACCCAGGTAGCCTGGCTCCGGGAGTCAAGCTCTTAAGCTCTGCACCCTGTTGCCCAGTGAAGCAGACTAGAATTTAGGGCTGGTGAGATAGTCCTGAGCTGTACCTGGTGGGTCAAACAGTGGCTAGAACCAGAGGTGTGATAACCACAAGTCTGGCTTTTCCACCCAAAGTGATAAGGGTGGGGTGAAACTGCAGCAAAGCCCCGCTGCGGGCTTTTCAGGAGAGGGAGACTAAGGCTGTCTTCACGGAGGGTGGGATTTCTACCCCTTCGCTGCCCACATTGGGGGAACGTGCTTTTTTTCAAAAGTTCACTGTGGAGGATGGTGGAGGCCAATGATTGGTCCAACATGGTGCCCTGATTCCTTCTCCCACACAACTCCTCCATCCTGGCCGTGTCCTCTGCCCTCCCAGCATTTGATATTGATCTTCCCAAACACTAATGAATGGGTCTCGGCTCGCCTTTTGCACCCCCTCTTCCTCTGGTAGCTTATATACTTTCTTTCTTTTCCTTTGCCTTCTGTGGAGTCCACTGCTGGCAGTGGGTGGCCTGGTTGGCTACAGTTCTCCTTGGCTATGCCAACCAACATCCAGAAAGAGTTCTGGTTTAAGAAAAGACAGTTAGGGAACTAAAGAGCCTTTCATTGTCCAAACCAGGAAACACATTGAGTCAACTTTGACCAACTCATTGACGATGGGAAAGCTGCCAGTCAAGTTTAACTTTCTCACTCTCACTGCCCTGGGCTTTCAGACATAAGGGATTAGAGGACTATTTTATGAAGCTGTGAGCCCATGAGGTGTTTGAAATTTAGTTCTGGGGAGGGAACTCTTGAAGAATGAATCTTGTATTGACTAAATGACCTCATTAGGCTGCAAACATTTCTTGCAAAGGAAAGATCACTCCATTTCTGAAATGAAAAATAAAGAGACTTTCTAGGAGTGTCCTCCTGAACTTTAATAGAAGAGCACCCCTGAGGAGTGGCATGGTACTTCTGTCGGAGGTTTTAGGAAAGTAATTAAAATGCTGCCACGTGGGGAGGCAACACCACGGAAGGGGTGGCAGCATCCTGGAACTAATTTAGGAGATGAAGTTGGCAGGAGGCAGAGGCATGAAGAGAATTCTGATGGGTCCGCTCCAGGCCCTTGGCCTTTTTGCTTAAAACCAACAAATGAGTCTTCCTCTCTTGAGGTTACATGTAAAGCAGAAAGATAGCCTCCGTTTTTTTTTTTAAATAATGTGCTCCTCCTGGAGTGTCCTGTTAATTGCCCCCTACCCTCTCCTCTCCCAAGTCCATTTTCCTCCTAAATGGCCTTGTACTTGGCTCTCAAATGGCTGGTGGATGGTTCGCATCCCAAGCTCTCCTCACCCATCAACGCTGCTCCCAGGCCAGAGCGTTGCTTTTATCATACACATTTTCTCAAGCTATACGAGTTGTGTTATTAACCCCGAGGGCAGCAGGAGGGAATGGTTAGGAGTCGGATAATTAGTGTGGTTGTGAAAGCCAGACAATCGGAAGACAGAACTGGACTGTCAAACTGAACATCTGATGAAATTCAGAATTGGGAGAAGTAGCTGTTACTATAGCAACCAATTCCCACTCTCCCTTGAAATGGAAAATAAACAGAAAACAAGAAAAGTAATTCAAGTTGGTGTCTAGGAAGAAGGCCTTTCTGCAGATCAGTAGAAGAAAGAGAGAATTTGGATATTTTAGGATATGCCGAGACAATGGTAAAACCAGCTCATGCAGACAGCCCATGTCATTTTTGATGGTTCAGTTCCATGCCTGTTTTCTCTGGGACTCTTCTCAGGACCATTCAGACTACCTCACCCATCTTGCCTTCGGATCACCTACGTAGCAAAGTGTGTATCACACGGGTTGTATCACACAAATAAATCCACTTGGTTTATTTGATAAGTACTGGTTTTATTCAACTAGGTAGCCAACTCCTTGACAGTCTTATGCTACATTGGTATCCCCTTTATCACATGGCAAAATGCTCAGATAAATGCTTCAGATAGGCTGATAAAAAAGCATTTTCAGAAAAGGTAGTGATGCTGGTTCTCTCTGATAAAGGAGACTCCTTATGAGTATTATGCAAGGAGGGTAAACAGATGATGGAGGAAGGTGGTGGAGAGTCGTGGCAAGAACATCAGCTTTTGAGTCACACACGTTTGGAGTCAAATCCTTACTCATATCTGCCCAACAGAAATGTGTACGGAGGAGCATTGAAAGACATGCACAAGGATGTTCATAGCAACATGCTTCGTAGTACCCTCACTTGGAAACAACACCGCTGTCTCTCAGCAGTAGAATGGATAAGTAACCATGATACATCCACAAAATGGAGTGTTCTCCAGCAAGGAGGGTGGACAGTCTTTGACTGCATGGAACAGCATGGATTATTCTTACAAATATATATGTTGAATGGATGAAGCCAGACTCGAAATAATATACTGTATACTGTACGATTTTTAGAAAACTCAAAATCCAAGACTGATCTATGATACTGGCTTATGTACACGTCCTTGGGGAGATGTTCAGTGTCAGAAGAGGACGTAGAGGGGTACTTGCAGGGCGCTGGCCATGTTGCTGCTTGATCTGAGCCCTGGTTGCCTGTTTATGAAGTAGGGATACTGTGAATACCTATCCTGTATTGAATGTGACAATCCACGGCAGGAAGTAATTGTCCAATAAACGTTAACTATTAGGACTGTGAATCATCCTTCTAGGGGAGGAGAGATTATTGTCTGGGGAGGCTTTTGGGGTGGAGTGAGCCCTACACCGTTTTTTGGGTCCAGGGTCCTGGGTGCTACCCTACCCTTGTTCCATCCATTTATGGTTCCCAGTGACGTTTGGTTATGAGTCTGACCGTCATTGCCCCCCGCCCCACCCTCGCTCCTCACCAGCTCCTTGTGGGCATTCAAGGCCTCTGCGTTTCGTCATAGTCGCTTTCTTCTTACTCTTGTCTCAGTCCCCGGCCCCTGCCCTCTGCTGGTAGCTCTGCTCACGGTGCTCTGTTTCTGCTCTCACTCATGCCGCCCCCTCTGTCGGGCCTGCCTTTCCTCTCCTTCTGACTCTGGTAAAGACTTCTTTAGTATCCCCAGTACCATCCACATAGTGAGTGCTTTATAAAAGTGTGTTGCTCTACTGGAAACCTGGATCTGCACCAGACGGACCTGGCCCCGTGCTGCGGGCTGACTCAAGCTGAGCTAAGTTTCTATCTGGGGTTTAATTTGCCTGGTAGGCCTGGCACGTCCAGGGCCATAGTTTTCCTTACCATTCTGGAGCCACCGGGCTTCTGGGTCAAACCGTCTGGCCAAGAGACACAGGCTTTCATTTTTCAGAAAGGAAACCCTTCCCAACTGGTGGAAAATAAGCTTTTGCTTAGTGACTAATAACATAAACACAGACAAGATTTCTGGGCTTATAAATAACCAGTTGTAAAAGTGCCCAAGGGAAGCAGTCCTTTCTGCCAGAAGAATGGCTGAGAGCATTCCTACCACCTCGCTGATAGTGACCTGACCGCGGGCGAGGAGCCGGGGCCCAAGGCTGCGGAAGCCGGTCTTTCTTTGGGACCAATTCCCAAGGCCTTGCTCTTTTACATTATAAATCCTGGGCAATTCTGGAAAAATAATAGCTGATCGCTAAGGTTCTTCCTGCTCAAAAATCCTGTGATTCTGCAGCAGCCACTGCATGTTTTAGAAGAGTGATGCCGGCAGGGAGAGGAAAGTCTTAGGATTTTGTTTGGCCTGAGCTACAAAGAGGCAGATGAAGTAATTATGAGAATGGCTTCTATTGACTGAGCACCGGCCTGGGCACCATGCTGAGGGCGCTGGACCCGTACGCTCACAGAATCCCCCGTAAATTGTTAGCTTCATTTGACTGATGAAGAGACTGATGTTCAGAAGGGTTAATATGTGTGGATAATAGTATAAGGGCTAGGAGTGTGGAGTGTGCAATCACACTGCGGGTCCAGGCCTGGTGCTTGCTTTGTGGCCATGGCTGTTATTAACCTCACTGTACCCAGCCTTTTTAGAACAGGATACTCCTAGGACCAGAGCCATATGATATAATTCATGCAAAATGCTATTGGCACAGTGCGTGCACATAGTAGGCCTTTAGTAGATACTGCTGTTATTGGGAAAGGGTCAAGAAGCTTCACGTGTAACACCAAATGGCCTCCTTGATGAATCATGGATGCTCCAAGTCTATAACTATTGTTTGCATTTAGCTAATCTGGTTATAGTCAAGGCCTTGACTGTAAGTCTCCAGCTGCTTCCTGCTGGAGGGCTGGGGCTGGGGTCCCAGAGCCAAGCCTGGCCACGTGGACAGTTGTCTCACCTGGCTGCCGACCCGCCTGTTTCCCCAGCTGGCTCCAAGTAAGTTCAGAGGGAGTATTGAAATGGCCAAATCAACATGCAAAACTCAGTTAGAGACCAGGTTCTCCCAGGGTGATCAAGTATTAGCATTTTCTGAATATTTTACGTGTGTTTGACTGTGGAACCCTTTTTTTCCCTCCAGGATGTCTTGTGAGACTAGTGCTCTGTGAAGCATGCATTTGGAACAGTTCCCCCGCCCCTCCAAGTGCAGTCAGCAGAGGAGCAAGAGTGAGCAGGCAGGGGCAGCGGGTGGGGGTGGAGGTGGGGGTAGGGGTGGAGACTGTTCAGAAAAGGATGACTGGGGACATGAGACAGGTGAACAGGATTCGGATCTATTTTAGAGGTAGAACCAGCAGGACTCACTGATGGAAGCTGTTTAGCAAAACATTTGGCATATTGAACTGATCTATGTTTATATCTCTTTGATACCAAGTTAGCCAGTTAGAAAGGGACGAATCCTGTCACTGATACAGTCCTTTTGTCTGCAAGTGACCCACACTTCCTGATAGTCACCAAAGGGACCAGTGGCTTTGGCCTCCTTTAGGGATACATCAAACTTTTGAGGCGTGTGAGGCTCCTTGTTTATTTCTCTGCCAAAATACTTTCCTTCTCCTCCCCAACCCCCTGACCTTCTTTTAAAATTAGAAAACCCGCTGCCCTGTCCAGGGCCTGTCACTCTATCATTTTTACAGTCTGAGCCATGCATTCTGAGGCAGCCTTTCCAGTTTGCAAAGTTTATTGTTAATGAGAAGTGCACAAGAGGCTGAAATCCCTGGCAAGAGCCAAAGCTACAGGGTACACCGAGGCCAGCAGACGCAGGAGCAGCCAATTTTATCTGGCTGTTCCCTCTCCTCTTCCTCCCTGCCCTCCTTCTCCCTTCATTTTATCAGAGAGATTTGGCTGGACTTGAAGGAGCCAAAAAGGAACTGGAGGGACCTGAGCTTCTAGCAGCCAATGACAAGGTGTGGGAGTGCAGCGGACATAGGCCAGCAGCACGTTCCAGTTCCCTGAGTGTGTCTGTGTGTGTGACTCAGTGCTAGGCCCTGGGGTCCAATCGTATTGATACCAACAATAATAACTAATATTATTGAGTGTATGTCGTAAGTGCAGGTCTTGTTCTGAGCATTTAATGTACCTGATACCAATAAATCCTCTCAACGATTCTAGGAAGTACTTACATATTACATTTTACGGTTGACTAAGCAGGCACAGAGAGGGCAAGCAACTCTCCTGGAGTCACACAGTAAGAGGCAAATCCAGGAATCTACTTAGGAGTGTCTGATTCCAAAACTGCAGTTTTTACCTCTCAAAGTCTAGGCTTACTGTCCAGGCAGAAGAAATAAATATGCAAATCAGCAAATACACTCATGCAGGTTGAAAGTGCTATGATGCGAGTATTCACTAATAACGGAGAGAGCTAGAAGGGAGGCAGCATGGAAGCCGTATTTCAGTTTGTTCTTGACTGATGGGTTGGAGTTTCCAGCAGGTAAGACAGGTAGGAGTAAAGGCAGAGGGTAGAGATGGAGGTGGGAAACAGCAATGTGTGTGTGATTGTGAGAAACAGTGAATAGGCCGGCGTTGGTGGGCTTGGGGGGCCTGACGGAGCAGTAGAATCTAATGAGATGGAGGGAGGTAGGTGGAGGTCCTTCAGAGAAGGAGGGTCTTGGGTACGCTATAAAGGTTTATATACCTTATCCCTTGAGAGTGATGGATTTCAACACAATTATTATTTTGTCTTCGCTCAAGGGACATCTTATGTGAAAGCCTCAAACATGAAGCAGAACAGTGGAGTGACTTTGGGTAAGGTGGAGCTGAGGACCCAAAGCCTGTCCTTTGTAGCCTCCCCTCACCTGCCCCCACTGGTATCTGCCTGGAACTCCTAGGACTCATTTGAGCATCACTGCTAGAAAACATCAAGGCTGGGGAGAGAAGCCTTTTGTGCCATGTAGTTATTTCCCATAATGGTCCAGAATGCATTTCTGAAGCTTTGAGTTCCCTCATTTAATAAATATTGCCAAACAGCATTGAGTGCTGGGGATACATCCATGAATGAAACAGACCAACCCTCATTTGCATTCTAGTAGAGGAGACAGAATAAATGCACAGAATAGATGTGTAATAGGACTAAAAGGGGTCCATAGGACATGGAGGACCTGGTGGCCACATTTGGAACTTTGGGTTTTATTTTGGGCTAGATGGAAAATCTGGAAGTTTTTGAGCAAAGAGGTGATGAGGTCAGCCACCCATTTTGGGGTCTGGGTAGCTGGTTCATAATCAGATGGTTAATAATGGTAGCTGTGTTTGTTATTCTGTGTTATCCCACCTACAGGGGAGGGGCTTGTGAGAAATGAGCCTGGTAAAGAGAGTGGGGGTCTCAGAAAAGAGAGGCACGTTTTCCCTAATGTTCCAGAGGCATGTCTAGTAGCGGCAGTGATGATGTCATTGACCACCTGGCTGGGAAACTTGCCCATCTCCTCGTGACATTGAATGGCCTGACTTGTGTGCCCCCTGCCCAGCGACATCTCCGTCGTCCCCTCTCGCGCTCTCTGGAGTCACAAATGAGCTTGTCGGATAAACAGGGTGTTTGTGTATTGCCGTCCCCCCTGCAGTGTTTGAGAACAAAGATAAGATTGTGATCATCATGGAGTACGCCAGCAAAGGGGAGCTGTACGATTACATCAGCGAGCGGCGTCGCCTCAGCGAGCGGGAGACCAGACACTTCTTCCGGCAGATCGTCTCCGCCGTGCACTATTGTCACAAGGTACGGCCCAGCCCCGCCACAGCTTTTGCTACGGATCGCTTTTTGTCGCAGCACGTGATTCTTTTCCTATTACAAAGGTGACATCAGTCCATTGTAGTATATATGGAGAATCTATAAACTAGAAAGAAGAAAATCACCATCACCCATAATCCCAGAATCTAAGGGTAACCTGCTGTTGACATTTGTTTGTTTCTTTCCAATCTTCCTACTCCTCATATTTATTTAACTTTTAATTTTGAGTAATTTTAGATTTACAGCAAAGTTTCCAAGATCGTACGGAGTTCCCAGGTACCTCTCACTCAGTTTAACTAACCCTAACATCTTACAGGACTCTAGGACATTTCTCAAAGCCAAGACACCCACATTAGTACACTGCTGTTAGCAAAACTCCAAATTTTATTCAGATTTCACCAGTTTTTACACCAACAACCTTTCCCCCTTCCAGGATTCAGACATTTTCCTGTGTTACTAAAAATTCTCTATAGTTAATGGGATTGTTGAACGTTTAGGCTGGTTCCAATTTCTGGTTATTATAAACAGTGATTGCCATTTTTATGCCTTAACTTTTTTTCCTCTTATTTGAGTAATTTACTTAAGAGAAATTCCAGAAGTGGAATTAGCGGGCCCTTTGTTCTGAACCTCTCTCTTTCCCTTTCCTTGCGTAGTTACATTCATGGAGGGTACGTACATACACCTACACTTTATTGCAACACAACTAAGGGGACGTGCTCTTAACACAGCCAGTTTAGCTACCCTTCATCTCTGGAAGAGGGAATGAAGTTCACAGATCATTTGTTGAAATATGGCTTGGAATTTATTATTTATCATTTGAGTCATGATTTCCATCCCATTTATACTTTTCCCCAGAACTGTCACACCTGAAACAATCATTCATTTTGAAGACAGCAGTGACTAGAAGCCAACATAGCATCCAAAACAGAGTCAGTTTCTTCATTCGGACGGTGGCAGCCTGGGGCCTTCTGGTTTGTTAAGTAGTCTAGTTAGATGAGAGTGAGTCTGGAATAATCATCTTCTCATTAATAACAGTCTAAAACCCTTAACCCATGTGGACATTATTTGACTTCTCTTTGCTGACTCAGAAGGCAGTGATGACTCAGACCGCACAATGTGTTGCATTTGTTTGGAATCTGACCATCATTGTAAGCACCACAGCCCCGTTTGCACTCTCTGAAGTGTGAGTCCTTGGGCTTTGTGTGAACGGGGCTTTATGAGACTCACTCCATCTCACTGTGAAGACGAGCAATGCAGCAGTGTAAACCAAACTGCTCCCAATACTTAAAACCAAACAAAAGCAGCTACCTTGTCTTCGGAATCTTTCCTCCAGGAGCCCTGGTTTGTGCATTTCTGAATTCAAAACATAGCCTTGAAGGTTTGGATTAGAAGGAGCACTAGAAGTACATGTTTTTTTCCACCTCTCCAGTCAGTGCTTTTGGAGATACTAGGAACTCTCAGGTGGAAAGGAAAATAAGCAATAAAGCACCAGCTGTACACATGCAGATTCCAAGCTAAAGAAATCTTGAATGAAAGAAAGAATTCCGAGCCAGTTGGTTTGCTTGAAAGAGCAGCTTCCTTTATGCTGAATGATGTTAAAAACGTCCTTCCCTGCTGCTACTTGCCGGGCCCCAGGTAGCTGGTTCTTTCAGTTCCTCTTCTCTTCCCGTGCCCACTCGCTCCCTTAGAAGATCGTGGGGGTTTGAAAGGAACTGAGCAGGACTGTTGTTACTGCCGTACAGACTAACAACCTATTGCTTGACGACTTCTTTTCACCATTCAGCTGGCTGCCTGCTTGTCACTGCAGCTCAGCGGACAGCCTTGGCAGAGTTGGCTTGAATGGAAGGGTCACACAGTATGGAGCGACCTGCTTTGGTCTCTTTGGCCTCTCGCACCTTCACCCTTCACCCCGCATTGTGCCCTACCCAGCAGAGAGGGACTTTGAGAGCCTTTTCTCCCAGCTGCTTGGGAAACACCCTTGGGAGTACTTCTGTTCTCCTTGGGACTGGTCTGCATGGCTTCATGGACCAGAATATATTGAGCTAGGCACTGGGGAGACAGGTAGACCTGCAGACAGACAAGTCGGGTCTGTGAGCCCCACATTCTGAGTTGCCAGCAGAGACATCTGCTGATTCCCTGGGAATCGCATCCTGTCTGTAGGCAGACAGTGTTTGCCACTGCCTGGGATTATACTGCTTTCACACAGTGGAATTACATTCCGACAAAGAGTCTCCCCGCTGTTTTACAGGCTCTGGGGGAGAATGGATTCCAGTCATTCTTCCCTTAACCACACAGCAAGTGACTAATGCTCTCCTGCCTGGTCGCTGGCGGGGAGCTTCATGACAGTGAGAGAAATCCTGAAGGATGGGGGCGAAGACCACCGGGGCTGGCGCGTTTCTTTAATCTGTCAAAGATTTCCCTTTGTTCACCCTCCTCCTTCCTCTCCCTCTCTGTCTCTCTTATCCCAACTGCTCCCATTCAATTCCCTGCCTGTCTTCTCATTTCAGAATGGTGTGGTCCACCGGGACTTGAAGCTGGAAAATATACTGCTCGATGACAACTGTAATATTAAGGTAAAGCTCTTGCCTCATTGATTGATATGCCTGACCTGGGGACTGCAGCTGGCTGGGGGCTTCTGCTGCTCCAAGCTGCAGCATGCAAATAAGGCGGCCCTTCCTTCCCAGCAGGCGGGTGGGGAGAGTCACTGGGCTTGAGCCCTCTGCTCAGTTCAAACAGTTAAATTCAACAAGCATTTATCGATCTTCAGCGACGTGCTAGACATTGTCCTAAAAGATGACCAAACTACAGTCCCTGTCCTTGGGAAACTCATAGTTGACAGTTTTTACCATAAAAATACAGTAACAGTGCATTTGTATCTTGTATCACGTTAGCCTGATGTCACTTAAATTCAATTTTCACAACAACCGTATGAGATAGATATTATTATTTACATCATTTCACTGATAGGGAAACTGAGGCACAGAGACATTAAGTAACTTTCCCAAGGTAACACAGTGGTAAGCAGCGGAGTGGGGGTTTGAACCCATGTCTCTCTGACCCACTGAGCCCAAGTTTGGACCACTCTGCTGGATATGCCAGCAGGGTCCCCAGTTATTTTGGAGTTGGAACCCTATCCCTGCCACTTCTGTTGCTCCCACCCTGCGTCTCCTGCTTCTCCCTTCCACCCCTCCCACCCCCAAAGCAGCCCTGGAACTGGGAAGCTGACTGAAAAGGTGGTGGTGATTGCTGTCGGGAAGGAGCGTGCCGTCAAGTGGCGGCGAGTATTACTGCGGGCTGCTGCCAGGGCTGGAGAAAGCTGTCCTGGCCACGGAGTTCAAGGGCCTCCTGCAGAGCACTCCAAATGGCCTTTTGATCATGGCTGCAGAATAAGCAAATACGGTTTCAAAATAAACAGAGCTCACTGCATGGGTTTCATTATGAAATGGCCTCCGTACTCCCAGCACCAGGGGTCCCTCTCATTGGCTGCTGGTGACGTTAGTGCCTCGTCCCTGGTCCCCAGACCAAGCATGGGAATGACCTTGCATCATCCCCTTTTTTGCTGTTGTGGTTGCTCTCAGTTGAGGGAGTGCATCACAAGACTATTTCCTTGCTGGGACCAATGGGGCTGCCCTGTGTTTGGATTCTGTCCCCAGATCATGGTGGCAACCATTAGTCACCATCATCCTCTGAAAGGACCCTGGAAATCACGTTGGGGAGACCTAGTTTTTAGTGAGTGGTTGACCATGATCACATATTTCTATACAGTCCACAGAGTAAGGAGGAAACAGTTGGTCAAAGTAGCCTTTCTAGGAACAGGAAGTGAAATCTCAGGGTCTCTGCATTTCTGGCAAAGTGGCTGGATTATTCTAGAAGGAGTAGTGGCTGCAGAGTTAGAAAATTCCATCCTGTGTGGTTTACTAGCCGCTTGACATTGGGGGAGCCACTTCACCCTGTTTCCTTGACCATAAAATGGGGAGACGGCAGTGCCCACAGGCTTGTTTTGAAGACTAAAGGATATGCTCCGTGATTAGCTGTATCAAGTGCTGAGCACTGTGCTGTGAGCCAAGGTTAAGAGCAGTGGCTTTGGAGTTGGATGGTCTGGGTTTGAAATGTAACCCTGCCCCTTACTAGTGGCAGTGTTTTGGATGAATGACTCACGCATCTAAGCCTCAGTTTCCTCCTCTGTCTAGTCTCCATCAATTGGGGAGGTTGTTGATCTGGTCATTTTTTAAATGAGTATTTGCTGAGCAGTTACTCTGTGCCAGCAGGCTCTGTGCTCAGTCCTGGAGAGTTCATGACAAAGGTGAGGATTTTAGACAGTATATAGTCAAAGCACTTAGCACTTAACTTTTAATACCCAAGGCACCTGCTTACATGGCTGGCCACTAGGGAAGTTGAATAGGAAGCCAGCTGCTCTGACAGTGCTCGGGGCCTGAGGTGTGTGGTGGTCAGGCTACGGCTGGAGAATTGGCTTCTGGTCTGAGGGGCACATTCTGAGGGCTTGTGTCATCCACTCTGGTAACTTTCTTTGTGAACTCTTCCTGCCACCTGCCCCCAGAGCTCTCAAAATGAAATGGAGTTCTTTACAAGGCCTGGAATGTGAGCCTCTCACTTGGGGATTGGGTTCTATGGTACAGCTTGACCTCTAGTTCCATGATGTAGTTCCAGAAGTGATAAGGCACATAGCTTCCTATGGAGTCATTGAATTCCCCAATGGAGGAGAAGAATGGTTAGCATTCTGAAAGCAATTGTGCTGGAACAATGGGCAGGAGCCCAGGAGAACGGCTTATTTGCATAAAGCAATAGGGCAGTGATGTTGGGCCTCCTGGCTCCCAGGACCAAGTCCTTCATCCGGGGGCCCTGTCCATTATGGAGGGAAATAGGGGCCATGTAGAACATTATAAGAATTAAGATTTTGGTCTTATTTTTTCCCTTAGGATTCTTTTTTTTTTTTACATTTTTTATTGATTTATAATCATTTTACAATGTTGTGTCAAATTCCAGTGTAGAGCACAATTTTTCAGTTATACATGAACATACATATATATTCATTGTCACATTTTTTTTTCTGTGAGCTACCATAAAATCTTGTTCCCTTAGGATTCTTAATCCTTAAGAATTTCTCCTCCTGGCATTTACCAAAGTAAAACACACATACACACATCCAAACCTTCCCTTTCTTTGATGCTGTTCCTTCCTTCTGCTCGCTCAAGGAATGCTACAAGGATTGGAGAATTCTAGAGCTTGAAAGAAACTTGAGGGTCATTTTCCAACCCCTTGTTTTGATGATTATGGCCCAGAAAGTCGATGTGCCCCAGATCATACACAGTGAACCAGCATGTCATTCTGTCTTTGTTTTCCTGGAATGTGGCACAGTGCTTGTCACACAGTAGGGTTTCTTAAGCAGTTTGATTTTGGAGTGAAGGGATGACAGCCAGGATTAGAACTCACATGGTTGACTTCCAGGCAAATTCTCTTTTCATCATCTCACACCCACTTCCAAGGTTTTGGAAAATGTGTTTCAGCTGGTGTTGATTTGTCTTCCGGCTGGATATGCTCAGCTCTTCCTGACTCAGCATTTTGCTGAAAACATATTGAGAAAGGGCACTTGCAGCAAAGGCAGGCAGACACATGGCCACAAGCTGGCCTCCACGTTTGAGAGCCCATGTCGTCAGTGTCTGGACCAGGGGACCATTGCCCCTGGAGGTCTGTTACCAATCCCCAGAGTATGAGCAGTGAGATGCCTCTCAAAATGTGGGTGCGTTTCCCCTATTTCCAGGGTGGAGGGCTTTTGCCCAGAAAGCCTATAAGAACGCTCCTGGTTTGAACTTGTCCTGTGTCGCTGCCGTTTTGGTGTGAGCCGTGCAACATGTGCCTCTCTCCTTCCCTGCCTGATGTTGGTTTGCAAAGAGCACATCTGGCCACGGCGAGAGGGTGTGGCTTCTAAAAATATTCACACAGTCAGTTGGCAGAAAGAATGAGAACAATGTGCTTCTTTGGGTTGCATTCCGTACTCTGCGGAGAAGCATGTCTACTAAAATAGACACCCAGCACAGCATTAATTCGCAATTAATAAAAACGGGCCAGATTCACGTCCCACTCTCTGGGAGAATGGAATGCCGACAATTCCCATAGGAGGCTCCTGTAAAAGGGCCTGATGGTGAGAAGCCAGGCACCGGGGTCAGCTGACCTCCACAGACAGGGCTGGGAATTTGGTGCACTCCCAGGGCTCAGGGTAGAGGGACCTGGGGGAAGCGGCCCGTGGCTCCTGATGACAATGGAAATGCCCGCTGCTGCGGAGAAGAGCAGCTTTGAATGGCCAGGGCTAAGAAGAGACAGAAACCCCCAAGGCTTAACAAGACCTGTGGGCAGCTCAGGCTCCAACTGTATGAATGTGAGGTTGCTGCACTCGTGCAGTAATGAGTCCATTCATCTGTTTGTTCATTTATCCATTTATGCGTGTGTGTGTGTACATGTACATCCATGAATGCCTTCTTTTTGTTATATTATTCCCATTTTACTGAGGAGGAAGTTGGTGGCAGTTCCCATCCATCACCTAGCAGGGCCAAGTCCAAGGTTAGCCCCAGGTTCTTCGGGGCTCTGACCTCTGATCTGTCCAGTGCACTGCGCTTCCTTTTAGACCCTGCACATGACTGTCAGACCATTGCTTATAGTCTCATTAGCATCCTTTCCCAGCAGTTACCCATCAGCAAACTGACTTCCTTTGTCATTGGATGAGCTTGCAGTGATTATTCACAGTGATCTAAGGTTAATCCCTTTTGTTTAAATGGTGATAAAATGTATGTAACATAAAGTTTACCATTTTTAGGTTTTCGGTTTAGTAGCATAAGTACATCCACATTGTTGCGCAACCATCACCACCACCCATCTCCAGAACATTTGCATCTTCCCAAATGGAAACTCTGTCCCCATTCAACACTAACTCCCCATTACCCCCCACTCCCAGCCCCGGGCAACCACCCTTCTACCTTCTGTCTCTGAACTTGACTCCTCTAAGTACCTCATGTGAGTGGAATCATATCATATTTATCCTTTGTGTCTGGCTTGTTTCACAGAGCACAATGTCTCCATAGTTCATTCATGTTGTAGTGAGGTTAATTCTTTTGACATGTGAATAATCGCTTCCCAGTTTTTCTTTCTAACTCTGATTTTCATCCAGTGGGGCCTACCTCTAGAAAGGCTTGCTGACAAAAACTTAAACTGAGGACATGAGTGTTGACATCCCAGGTTCCTTCTCGGAGTCCAGGCTGAACACAGTGCCCCAGTGTGGGGACAGAGGAGGGTTCTGAACAGGGCAGTAGAACAGTCTCTCACCAGCAAAAAAGGTAGTTATCTTTCTCCAAAGGTTACCAGTGTGCCAGCAAAACCCGACTTTGAAAGCAAAGCTGGATGCCTCCTTGGTGGAGAGTCGCCCTTGACACACAGCTGATGTTCTGTTCTAGAGAACCGCACTGAACCTCACATTCCTGAAGCTGTTCTATCTCTGTGACCTTTGGCAGAGGTCAAGTCCTCTGACCCTCAAGTGCCTCACTTACAGGGTGAGGTGCAGGATTAGCTCACCCCGTAAGACTCTTCCAGGTTGGAACCACTTCTTGGATTTGGTTTTTTGTTTTATTATGTTTAAAAATTGTTATTTCCCAAATTTCAGCTTTCTCCAACTTCCTAAATTTCTTTTCTTTTATCTCTTCATCGATTTTGCCTTTTCCCAGTATCTTCCATCCTATTTCACTTAATTTTATTTAGTTTAATTCACTTTGAAAAATTATATGTATCTGAAAAAGAAACCTGACATAATTACCGTCAGTGAAAAACCAGAATCATTGAGAATCATGACGTTAATAAAGTTACTTACGTGGATTTAAGGTGGGACACATATTGAGCCCCAACTTTGTGCCAATTACTATTTTAAGCATTTCATATACTTCCTGTCATTTAATTTTCACCACGACACGATAGGGGTGGATACTGCTCCTACCCCCATTTTACAGATGGGAAATGGAGGCTTTGAGAAGTTTTATAACCAGTGGCCATTTCCCATCTTACAGTTCTTACAAACTCCATATGAAGTGGAATCTTAGAGCTTCAGCCCAAGTTTAAGTGGCTCAAGAATGGAGAACTGTGTGTGTCTGTGTGTGTGTGTGTGTGTGTGTGTTGATTAATATTGCTTTTCCGTTGAAGTGCCAAGCACATGGACTAATCTAGATTTCTATTAATCTTATGTCAGTGGCAATGACAGTTTTACTGGGAGAGGCTGATAAACATCAGTCTGTGAGGATGGGAGTGGGCCATAACATAAACACGCTTCTCAGAAGGCCTACAAAGAAAGCAAGTGTGCCAAGACTTGGAGCACTTCCAGTGGACATGGGTGTGTGGGGATTTGCACGTGGTGGTGCTGGGTGCCTCTCACGTGTGTGTGTGTGTGTGTGTGTGTGTGTGTGTGTGTGTAGGGTCACGCAGTGCCCCAGATGCCGCTGACATTGCAGGGTGGGAAGGGAATGTGTTTTCCTCAGGACGTGCGCTGTGCTGTGTGAGTGCCTCCTTAGCTGTGGGCTGAGAGGACGAAGCCCAGGGCCTTCTCGGGATGTTTCAGGGCTGCAGCCGTTCCTTGCCTCTTCTGATTGACAGGGCACACTTCATAAAGCTTCCAGCCAACTTCCTGCAAGCCAATTGGGGGCTTTGATAAGAAAATGGAATTCAGGGCAATTAAGTGCAATCTGAGCCCTGAGAATGTGTTTTCTGAGGGCGGTTGTTCACCAGCTGCTTTCAGTGCCATTCCATTCATTCAGGGACGCCTGTTACAAGATGGGCTTATTCTGGGCACCGCATTCAAAACGGCCTTAGCTGGGCACGTATGTGATTCACTCGTCCTATTTAGAAGCCTCAAGTGGCAATCGGTTTTGGGGATGGCAGAAGTCCACAGCGGCTCAGCGTGTAAGGCTGGCTTAGACTGGGTGAAATTTGCAGATCACCCTGGGGCTAGGTTGGGCAGTGGTTTGAAGCTGTAAAGACACCTGGGTTACACTGTTGCTGGCTAGTTAGTTCTCTTGAGATGAATAACCTCATTTCCCTAAACCTCAGTTTCCTTATCTGTTAGGAGTGATAAAATATCCCTAACACATAGTTTACTGTTTTTATCGTTTTTAGGTGCTCAGTACAGTGGCATGAAGTACATTCACACTGTGTAAATGGGATTGTAGATAGGGTTAGAGACTGTAAAGTGCTTAGAACTGTACCTGGTCATTGTAGATTGTTCAGCAAGTGGTAACTAAGTTTATTATTATTTTGTATCATCGACTAATTATCTTATGCTTTTCAAAATATAATGCCTCTTCTGATGACGAGTGTTTCTTGGGTGAGGGCAGGTGCTAAGCAGTGGATGTTGCAAAGATGAGAGGCAGATGTGGAACCTGCCACCTGCCTCGGGGGACTCAGTCTAGAAGGCAAGGTGAATATATATTTGTATATACATAGGTACATATATATGTGATGTGATATGTATGTGCATATGTAATATATACATTACATGTGTATATGATAATAAGCATATACATGTATAATATATACATTACATGATATATGAATAGGTGCACACACACACGCACATGCAGAAGAATGCTGCCTTAAAGGATTATAAAATACTTCAAGAAATCAAAGAGAGTGATTCCAAAGGGTTTGTGATACAAGAGAAGCAAGGTCAGGTAGAACATTTGCATGGAACTTGAAGACTTCAATGTTACAAAGCACTTTTGCATCCATGGACTCATCTTGATTAATTTTTTTCTTCTCATTCTCCCAATAATCCTGTGATCTCAAACAGGATAGGGATCATGGGTTTCTGTTTTCTGGTGGGTAAACTGAGGCTCAGAGTAGCTAAGTGGTCTGCTCTGTGCCACACAGGGTTTGGGCTGCAATATGATTTCTTCAAACCCAGTGCTCAGGGTCCATTTTCTCTAGTGTCACGAGGTGGCCAAAATACAGTTCCGATGAGTTTGTGGGCAGATAAAAGGCAGTGATGTCTATTGCACAGGTAGGTCAGGGTTTTCCAGGGAGTGGTGCACACACCACTGTGGGTGGATGCAGTGTGATTTTTAGATAGGCTGCAGAGGAACAGTTTTCAGATGAATAGTTTATATACAGTGTTCATTAGACCATCACAAATGTGATTCTGTGGCTATTTCTCAGGGCAGGTCTACACTGAAGTGAAAACAGAGATTATGTATGGAGTGATTTTAAGTGAGTAATAGAGCATGCTGTGTGCAGATACAGCAGAACTTGTGATGATGCCAAGGACTGCAGTCGGGAATCAGTGGCCCGGTTGTGTTGACTGGTCATTTTGTGAAGACTCAGGGCTGGAGAGAGAAGGGGGACCCAGCTGGCAGAGCTGCCCCAGGGCGCCTCAGCTGCTTTAGTCTGGGTCGTGTAAGCTGAGCCAGTGCAGACACTGACCTCCATGCTGACAGGCCTCCCTGGGTCTTGTGTCTCTTTGTAGATTGCCGACTTTGGGCTTTCCAACCTGTACCAGAAGGACAAGTTCTTGCAAACGTTTTGCGGGAGCCCACTCTACGCCTCTCCTGAAATTGTCAATGGGAGACCTTATCGAGGCCCAGAGGTGAGCAGCTTGCCTGGTGTATGGGGGTGGGGGAGAGCGCTTGGTGGGGGAGACAAGAACTGGACCTAGGAATACCTTAAAAAAAACCCCACAAAAGCAAGCAAATAAAAAACTTTTCCTTATATGATTATAAAAACCATAATATACATACCTGGGGCACCTGAAAGAAAATTGGAAAAATCCAGAAAAATCTAAAAGAGAAAATAAAGTTGCCTTCAGTCTCCCCCCATGAGAGATAACCACTTAATATTTATGTGACTTCAGACATTTTTCCAATGTAGATCTTTGTATTTCAAAAGTAATTGAGATCACTGTATATGTATGTGTATATCTGCCTTTTATTAGCTTAAAGTTATAGTTAGATTTTCTGAATTCGGTATTATTTAAAACATGGTCTTTAATGATGACGTAACTTTTTATTGTATGAATGGACTGTACTTAGTCATTTCCCTAGATTTAGGTAGATTGTTTTCAGTTTTTCATATTATAATAAAACAGGCAGCACAGAAAGCGAGCAACCTAACTCTGCAGTAAATATCTTCTGAGTATATTTTTGAAAGCATGCATCTTTGTTTAAGGAAATGTATTAATTGCATCTTCTGATTCATGAGAAATTCATTTCTCTATATGCCCAGAGCTTTCAGGGCCACTGTTAGAGGTGTGTATGTGAAAACGTCATTTTGAAAATGAGTGAGTTGTGCGTGATTATTCATTTTAAAAAAGATAGTTCTGTTTACGGAGAGATTCATCCACTCAAGATCCTTTAAATAGCAGCCTCTCAGTGGATTAAAATGTTTCCTTCCAAATAATTATCTATTTGAGAGTGTTTGGGAGCAGGGCTGGAGGGTAAAGAGAAAGATGCCAAGAGCCTCTATCAACTACAGTGAAGAGGAAGTCTTCCTAAAATAAGAATGTAGGGGAGGAGCCTAAGATTCAGTTTACAAAGTTGCAGAAACTCGACACTGTAAATTTGTCATGGATAATGAATGCTGCCTTAGTCTCTGATGATCTGTTTCCGAGGTTACAATCTGGCAGCCTCTGATCTGGCCAACAAGCATGCTGCATTTTGGCCACATTAGTCCTTCTAGAAAAATTTAACAAACATTTAATAAGTGGGAGCTGTCACATAAAACCCTGGTTTCTGACTTCTGAAAAACCAAAGATGCTCGCCGTGCTGGGCCTATATTCCTGTGTGGCAGCAACTTGCCGGAGGAGGCAACGGGTGACTGCCCTCTACAGTTTGTCTCCATCCCCAGCACTCCTCGTTGTAGCCCACCTTCTCTCTTTGTTCATGTTTGTGGTCTCCCTGGCTCTTGTAAGCACTCGGATTGGCAACCCCTGATCCATTTGAAGAAGGTGCAGGAAGGAACTGATTCCTGGATTAGGAGTCAAGAGCCTTAGTGTCCCAGTCTTAGTTCCATCACTGGGGTGGGAGCTTCCAGAGAAACCATTTAGCTTCCTTAGGCCTCAGTTTTCTCATCTGTCAGATGGGGCTGAAAATAACCCAGGCCCTACATGTTTAACAAAATTATAGTGAGGATCAAAGAAGATAATCTATTCAAGAAAGTTCTTCTCCAGGTTGGAACTGTTGGTCTTGGTTTGAAACAGAAAGGTCAGGCCCTGAAGCAGGCCGCAGGTGCATTGCATCTCAGGTGTCAGACTGCGGTGGGACCTGTCTGCCAGGTGCTGCACTCAGTTCCTGGGGTCGTTGAGGGTGGCTGCTCATGGTCTGTGAGACTAATGGTTTGAAAGGCATCCTGGAATCTACTTCCCAGCTCCTGTATGTCCTGTCTCTCCTGCAGGTGGACAGCTGGGCCCTGGGAGTCTTGCTTTACACCCTCGTCTATGGAACCATGCCCTTTGATGGTTTCGATCACAAAAACCTCATACGGCAGATCAGCAGCGGAGAGTACCGGGAGCCCACGCAGCCCTCAGGTGTGTGCCCGCGCGGGCCAGCGGTTGAGCTGGGAGAGGTCAGCTCACCTGCCCAGCTCACACTTTCCGCTTGTGTCCTCGTCTGTCCGTAAGGAGCTGCCTGCTTTTTCTCTTTCGTCTCCCCAGATCTTTGCCTTCTGGCAGAGCTGCTTGTTCGGCTGCTCTCTCCAAACCTTCCCAAGTGACATTTTCAGAACAGTTGTTCCACGCGGTGGACTGGGAGTCCTGTCTGCTTGCTGTGTGAACTTGGGCAAGTCCCTTACCCTGTTTGGATTCAGCTTCTCCACTATAAATTCCCATTTTGGAAAAAGAATTACGTGAAATCCCTTATGGTCCAAATCCCTGGCTCAAATCCCTGTCACTAGACTGTAAGTGCATAAGGATGGCGGCTGCTCTTCTCCATTCTGGCGCCCCATCAGGGGATATAGCGTGTGGGCGCGGTCTCATTACTTCCTGCTGCAGAACAACTCCATCCCGTCCTCCGCCTGCCTTCTCCAAACTCAGTGGTTTAAACATCCATTAACTGTATCTCTCGATTCCCTGGGTTGGTTAGAGCTCTTCAGGCCTTGCTTGGGTTTCTCCTACAGTTGCAGTCGGTGGGTACTGGGGCCAGTGGTGGATACCTCTGTGCAAGCTCTCTCTCCATGAGCTGCCTCCTCAGGTCTCTCTCTCCAGGAGGGAGCCTGGACTTCTTATGCAGCAGCTCAGGGCTCCAAGACAGAGGAGGAAGAAGCTGCCCGGCCTTCTTACTGTCTGCTTGGAAGCCAGATGATATCACTGCCGCCATGTTCTATTGGTCAAAGCAGCCAAGGCCGTAAACTCCATCTCCTGATGGGAGGGCATCATGTGGGTACAGAAGAGGTCTGCACAGGGGACCATCTTCAGAATGTACCTCATGTACGTGCATGCTATGCATGTGCATAGACACACGCACACACTGTTGATTCTCATTATCTGCAGCAGTTATGTTCTATAAGGTTGCTATGAACACCGAGTCAGTGAATATGGAAGCACTACTCCTAGGGAAATACAGGGCTGGATTCTGTGAGCCTCTGGGCACGTATTTTGTCAACCAATCAATACATATCCTTGCTTTATGGATATTTCTGCTTAGAGATACCTCATTTAAAATATAGTGTTGATTCATGAACATCGAACTCACGGCCAACAGGACTGTAACTCGTGCCCGAACGAAGCTTATCTAACACACATTTTCTCTGTAAGGCACATCACCGCCCTCTTGCCCTTAGAATCACCAGCGTCACACTGGGGCTCATTTGAAACAGCCACATCACCAACAGAAAGTGCAAATAGATGAAAAGCATGGACTAAACAGACTGAAAAGGACACTTGTTTACAGTCTGAGAGAAGAAACAAGAAGGAAGTGCCGAGGTTCTCCCTCAGCTGAGAACACACGTGGGGGCAACTCACATTTTTTCTCCGCTCTGTGGAAGAAGATATGCAAGTGACTGGAAAAGCACCCTGAGTATTGATTTTGGGGTTACAAATATATTTTCGTAAGAAGGCAAATATACAGCTACAAAATCTAAATAATAAAGATGGACTGTTTTATATGTGTAAACTGTAGACATAGGTATATGCAGATTTCTATGTCTGTATTTTTTTTTCAATAAGCTAGCCAGGGTTTTTCTTTTTTGAGGAATTTCAGGGTGACCTCTGTGGCAGTCTTTTTGTCTCACCAGCTAACTGGTGCCAGCATAGTATCTGGCACATTACAGGGGTTCAGGAAATATTTATTGACTGAATGAATGAACATCCTGTTACTTTTCAGGGGTGCAGTTCACCCCTGGTGTCGTTGCCAGGCTCCTGCCAGCTACTCATTAGCCTGTGTAAGTGGCTGAGGGGAGGTGGCGCCTTCCCAGGGTATAATTCAACCCCCTTTGGGGGAGCACAGTTTGATCTTAAAAGGCGGTTTATAAGCTGTGAGAGTCAGTTGGTTCCTGTGGCCTCCTCAACATCCCTTTGGGGCTTTCCCCTAATTCTTTGGCAGCAGAAATTTGCAAATGGAGTTTTTCAGACAGGCTGGAAATGGATAGCAGGTAGAGATCAGCTCTTGGATTTGACAGCTCGGTAGGCTACGGCTTATGTCAGAGTGGGGAGAGGAGGTGAGCTCTGGGTGTGGGTCTGAGCCTGGCCAAGGCCTGAGTCAGGCCAGCCTTGGGGACAGCCTCTCTCACTGCCCAGGTATGCGCTCCTCTCCATCCTTCTCTGCCTCTCCCTCTCTGATGAGAAGCCTTTTTCTCACCATCTCAGACCCAAATTTCCTTTTCGTGCCGACATGCTTTTCTGGGGACCTGAGTGCTGTGTGTTTATACAAACCTACCTTTGGAGGATGAAGAAAGCCATGGTAGCCCACACCTGTTTTCCCTCTTGGTGAAATGATATCCACCAAAGGAATGGTGGGGCCCTGCTTGGGGTCAGGTCTGGATTCTTTCCCGGTTCCCTGGCCTTCCCCATTTTATAAAGATCTGAGTTGACGGAGGGCTTGGCGGTTCGTGATATTTCTTCACTCACATGGAGAAACACACCAGGCTGTGACAGTGCACTGGCCTGCGGCTCAGAGTCTTCATGATGCTTTTTGATGTACAGTCTGACAGGCAATGGCTTCCTGGTCAAAAGTGGCTGGACCATTTGGACTTTTCCTAAAGTGAGCACATCTCCTTAGCCCTTTCTGGAGCCTCAGCCCTGTCACAAAGCCCAAAGCTTCTGTATGATGTACTGTTCCTTTTGCTTGTCCCATAGATGCTCGAGGACTCATTCGGTGGATGCTGATGGTGAACCCCGATCGCCGGGCCACCATTGAGGACATCGCCAACCACTGGTGGGTGAACTGGGGCTACAAGAGCAGTGTCTGCGACTGTGATGCCCTTCACAACTCTGAGTCCCCTCTCTTGGCCCGCATTATCGACTGGCACCACCGTTCCACAGGGCTGCAGGCTGAGGCTGAAGCCAAAATTAAGGGCTTGGCCAAACCTGGGGCCACTGAGGTCATGCTGGAGCGGCAGCGGTCACTGAAGAAGTCCAAGAAAGAGAATGACTTTGCTCAGTCCGGCCAGGACTCGGTGCCCGAAAGCCCATCCAAGCTGAGTTCCAAGCGGCCCAAAGGGATCCTGAAGAAGCGGAGCAACAGCGAGCATCGCTCTCACAGCACTGGCTTCATTGAGGGCGTTGTCAGTCCTGCCTTACCCCCTGCTCTCAAGATGGAGCAGGACTTGTGCCGGACTGCTGTGCCCCTCCCGAGCTCCCCCGAGGCAGAGGTGCCAGGTAAACTCAGCCCCAAACAGTCGGCCACGATGCCTAAGAAAGGCATCTTGAAGAAGACCCAGCAGAGAGAATCGGGTTACTACTCATCCCCGGAGCGCAGCGAGTCTTCGGAGCTGTTGGACAGTAACGAAGGGCTGGGTGGCAGCATCCCCTCCCCGAGCCCCCCGGACCCGGCCAGGGTGACTTCCCACAGCCTCTCCTGCCGCAGGAAGGGCATCTTGAAACATAGCAGCAAGTACTCGGCAGGCACCACAGACCCGGCCCTGGCCAGCCCCGAAATGCCCACACTGGAATCCTTGCTGGAGCCCGGTGTCCCCGCCGAGGGCCTCTCCCGGAGCTACAGCCGGCCTTCCAGCGTCATTAGCGATGACAGTGTCCTTTCCAGCGACTCCTTTGACTTGCTTGATCTGCAGGAGAACCGCCCTGCCCGCCAGCGCATCCGCAGCTGTGTCTCTGCCGAAAACTTCCTCCAGATCCAGGACTTTGAGGGGCTCCAGAACCGGCCCCGGCCCCAGTACCTGAAGCGGTACCGGAACCGGCTGGGAGACAGCAGCTTCTCCCTCCTCACAGACATGGACGACGTGACTCAGGTCTACAAGAAAGCGCTGGAGATCTGCAACAAACTCAACTAGCTCCCCAAGGCACAGGGGCGGGTTGGGGTGGGTACGAGGGAGGAGTAGGGGCAGTGACTGCTAAGGAGCTGGCCATGACAAGAGACTGAAAGAGGATTGGTGCTGTCTTGCTTTGGCCAAGTTTGCAGCCTTGGGCCAGCAGCTAAAAGGGAGAAGTGGGCTCTCTGCCAGTCCTGCCAACTGCCAGTCAGAATTCAGATCCTAATTGGCATTTGCTTTATAGCATCCCTAGAGGACCAGCTGTCCAGGGGAGGTGGTGTTGGCCAGCACTTAAAGCGTGGGGGGAAGCATATGGGAGAGGGAGCATTTCCCTAGAAGTCATCCACATGCTTCTGGAGGAGTGGCAAGAGAGACTGGGGCCATCTGCTTTGAGTGAACTCAGAGCTTGCTCCTTCTCTCCTCACATTAGCAGGCTTAGTCTGACTGCATGGGGTTGGCAAGTAGGTTTCAGCTACATGAGCTTGAATCAGTGATTGATTGATACTGGCTGTTGGGTGTGCTGGTTTAAGTAGCCCAGACACACCAGAAGGAGTGCTGTGATTGAATAGTGATGGCTGCCGTGGGGATGGGAAACGGGGCAGTAGCACTCATGCCACGTAGTTGCCATCCTTGACCTGGCTAAGCCCTGGGAGTGTTAGTATAGATCCTGTGGGATCTGTGTTATCTCTTTCATGCCACCAGTGTGGCATTTGTTCATTTGCTACTCTACCTTGAATGGAGACAGGGCCTTGGTCAGAGAGAGAATGCTCTGAACACTGCTAAGGACTTAGAGTCAGCCCATGGTGATTTTTTGGCTTCTTTTTGTCTACCTCTTCTTTCCTGGTGTCTGCCTTGCTCTTCAGCACAACCTCCTGAGGGTGGACAGGGGAAAAGATGGTGGTGTCTGAGGTCAAAACTTTGGCATATAACAGAGCTTGAGGCCCTCTGTGGTCTTTGTGCAGTTGAATGGAAATCGATCCACACCAGCAAGGGGGCAACTTTTCGATTTCTTTAACGTCTCAATATTAACTGGAATGCTGCCTTGTGGGTTCTCACCTGCATGAATGCTTTGAATTGGACGTGATGCTGTGGTTTCCAAAGGAGTAACTGGCTCAACCATTTATCCTGCTTACTCACAGTAAACGATTTCCCCATCCACCAAGTGTAGAATCCTCAGAGGTAGATGAGTTTGCTTCTAGCGTGTAGTTAGTGTGTAGGTGGGATATTTGGATGAGGAAAGTCAGGCAGAAGGTGTTCTCCCCAAATCGAGGTATTCTGTGTCATGGGTTTAAACTCCTAGGCTTTGGGGAAGAAGTTCCATCCATTCAAATGAATAAGGTACTAGAGAGCAAAGTGGGTTGGTAGGAAGCATACAGGAGAGGGAACACTTCCCTGGATTCATCCAGGTGGTTCTGGAGGAGGCAGAAAAGAGGTGTGACAGGACTCTTACCTTAAAAAGTAACATAACTAGGTATTTAACTCTTAGACATCCAGATTACAGGTGATAAGCCGTCGCTTCCACAATGGAACATCTTGAGATACTGAGTTTGGAACTGATGGTTTTATTTGGGACTTTGGGATGACTTCAGATTCTACTGGCCCCAGCCAACTGAAACTTGTTTCGAGAATGGCTGACTTCTGATAGCCACCTGGATATTTCAGGAGAGCTAGTCTTGTGGGTATCCTGGGGAAAACCAACAGATAATAGTTCATAGGGAGATGAGAAAGAATTCACCTTCAGGCACCAAGAACATTAACTAGAATGAAACTGCCCTTTCCCTGAGGGGATGGCCCCATTTCTCCCCTTGCCAACAGCTCTGGGGTTTTGGCTTCTGCATTCCTTCAGGCTGAGCTGAGTAGTGTAACATGGGAAGCTTCTTGATTTCCTTTCATCCAGTTCCACTTCTTTCCTGAACGCCAGCATAGGTTCAAAGGGAAAAAAACCTGTAGATAGCAAATTGTATGTGGGGTATGTGGGTGCAGGGAGTGCGTGCGCTCTGCAACCTCTAAGCCCCCTACTCCCTGTCTCATTATCTGCGGCCTTTTCTGAACAGCCTATACTGCTGCACTGCTGGCCCCTCGTGCATGGCAGCCGGCCTAGTTGGTAGCTGTCAGTAGGACTTACGTATAACATCAACCTACTGGTTGACGTGTTTTCCTTTTGCCCAAGTGATTGTGTCTGTTCAGTGATTTTCCATCCTTCTAGTCTTTAAGTAAAAATAATACTATTAAGGAAAATCATCCTACTCCTCCCCCACTCCCAAAACACATGTATGTTCTCTTTTGTCAGTAGACCCAGACAGTGGATCGTGGCAAAGACGGTCCTCCACTCAGAGGCAGAGACTCTGAGTCCTGGTGTGCTGCTAGCCAGCTGGTGGCCTTAGGCACCTGCGGTGTTTTGGGGACTGTGGTTTCCCTTCAGTGGGGGCTGGAGGGGCGGATTAGCTGGTCTCTCAGGCCCTGCCTAGTTCCGACCTTCTGCTAACATCCTCTGATTCGAGATGTGTCCTTTCAAGGAAAAACTTAGAATAGAGGGAAAAACCCTCAAAGCAGCTCCCTTGCTTCCTGATTAAGTCCTATCATCCCTACCAGCCAATCCCATCCAAGGAAGGCATGCTTGATTCATTTCCATGGAATTACAAGTGAGAGACACTTTGATGACCTGGTGGACCAAGCAGGAGGTTCGAGGTCAGCCCTCCTGGTCCTTTCCTTGCCTCTGTGGGCCTTTCAGTGTCTTAGTTTACACATCTGCCAAAGGAGTAGAGTTATACTTCTTTTTACAGGTAAATTTCAAGGCATGATCAGTTTTCAGGAAGTGCATCAAGACCCCAGGTGAAATGAAAATGCTAAGTACTCTCTGAATTCCCGTCCCTGTTTTAAGGTGCTGCTTCTGCAGATGACAAGGAGCACCTTTCAGGGTGAAACTCAGGTGAGTGTTGGCCAGGCCTGCTGTCTTGAGTACAAATGTGAATGACTGACTGACTGCTTATTGCCAAACTGGAAATGTTCTGTAGGGATTTACTGGCATGGTATCATTCCTAGAAGAAAAAAAGAGAAACTTGACTGCACATTTTTTTTTAATCCATGTTGTGACTTTTATTTAATTTCTATTTTTTTGGTAATAAAAAGTTGACTTTTTTATTTGAATTTGTCTTTTTTTATTTATTGGTCTGAAAGGCATTTCAAAGGTATTATAATAATATATTGGTATAATTTAATTGGTGCAACATGCTTTATGGTTCCAGTCAAAATTGGTTTTCATTCATTTGATTGGTTTGAGCCCAGAACAGCCTATAGGGGAAAAAGAAAAAAGCTGGATAACCACCCAAAATGTTTGTATTTTCATTGGAAACTGATTTGTTTTGTTTTCTGTTTTTTGTTTGTTTGTTTGTTTCTGTTTTTATTTTTAAATTAAATAAATTGCCATGAACTGACCTGAACTGGGACCTTGCTTCTTTACTTGGTTGTTATTCTCTTAGCTCAGTAAATGACAGAGTGGTTGTAAGCAACAGAAATACACTCAAGCTGGCCTAGGCACAAAAGGGGAATTTCTTCGATGTTCTCAGAAAAGTAAGTGCAGGTGGCACCAGAAACTGGAATAGTAGGTCCAGGAGGATGACGGGCCCTCTTTTCTGCCCCGCTTTGCATGCCAGTTGTGACTGTTCCTTTCGTAGCCTCGCTTTCTCCTCCCTGGTTTTATGACCCACTGTGGCTTACCCCAGCTTCCAAACTGACATGTTCTCAGTTCTGGTTTCCAAAAGAGATCTTGACCCAGTTTCTGCAGTCTGGACTAGAGTCAGCACTAAAGGTTAACCCTCAGCCACACCTGCCCCCCACACTTCAGCCTCCTCGGCCTGCCCCAGCGCTCCTTCTATCCCAAGGGCAGACAATGCGCTCATATGACTGCTCTGAGATCACGGGGCTGTGTTTCCTAATGAGGAAGGCCACCCCTGCCCTGCCTATAATAAAATGCCATCCTGCGTCCCATTTGCCATTGTTTCTGTGTGAGCAGCCCCTCCAGGAAGCTCTTGGAAAAAGGGATGAATAATAGGGTAAGACTGAGGAGTTCCCGGGTCCTGGTCACAATATCAAATGACATCAAATCCCACCCCTAGTCTCAAACATGAAAGAATCATGCTGTGCACTGCATAGCAGTGTTACGGATCCATGCAAGGAAGTCTGACTTTTCAAAGAAACTGCAACTTGCCTGTCTGGACTTGGACAATTGCTATTGAGTCAAATTACTTTACCTCTTTGGGCCTTGGGTTTCTCATCTGCTTCATAGGTATGTTAATTGTTATCTTTTCCCAACTCTTAACAGGGCTGTGAAGAAGGAGAGAATTTCTACGAAGTTACTCTGAGAGTAAAACTCATTATGAGTGGGAAACCATAGTCCTTTCTTCACAGGGCAGTATTCACTTTAAAGGCAACCTGCCTGGTCTGGAGGCTCTTAATTCTTGCTGTGGTCCCTGCTGCTGTTAGCAAACGAGCCAGCAAGTCATTTGCAGGGTAAGGGACTAGAGAAGTTCACTTAAACATGAACCCCTTTGGAAAGAAATAATTTAGCAGCCAGATAGAATAGCATGTGCCTGTTCTAGAAGCTGGACCAAATGTGACATAGAAGAGGTAGTGAGGAAGTAGGCGTGGCCGAATCAGCACAGCTGATATGTCAACTGATATGTAGGTGAGATTAATGGGAGTAGTCCCTTTAAAAGAGGAAAATTGAGAACTAATATTTATCGAGCTCCTGCATGGTGCTCACTTCATCCTATTCAGTGGCAAGTGGTATAAACCCAGCTCAGACCATGTTAAGTAATAAGACGAATTTATTGCTTCTTGCAACTGAGAAGTCCAAGATGTATATCTCAAGTATGGCTGGATCCAGGAATTCAAGTGATGCCATCGGCCTCCTTTTCATTCACTCTTGCTGGATGTGGGCTTCATTCTTAGGCAAGCTTTCTCTGCATGGCAGCAAGGGAGCTCCTGGTAGTAACAGGGTTATGAGGTCCTTTTAGTGTATGGCCCTAGAGCCAGAGAGATTCTTACTAGCCTAGCATTTAAGTGCCAAGAGGACTGTGATTGGCTTGCTGAGGTCACGTATCTCTCTGGCCCTGTCACAGAGTCCAGTCACAGAGATGCTCTGATTGGCCTGCCAGGATCACATGTCTACTCTTGTAGTACACTTGAATGACAGCTCCCTCAGAATCAGAGTTGGGGAGGGCAGCTCTCCTAAAGGAATGGATGCAGACTTGACAAAAAGTAACCCATGTTAGTTACAACTCTGGGGCAGTAATTTCCTTACCTGTAAGGTAGCATTAAGTGATTCCTAACTTTCAGAGTTATTGTGAAGATTAAAATGAAATGAATCACCCAATACAAGACCTGACACATAGAAGATTTATGTAGAAAATATAGGAAGACAACTAATATAACCCTACAGAGAGAAAATACATTTGTTAGGAAAATTTTAGCTGTAAAATCGGGTATAAGATCAGAAAATACAGCTGAAACTGGTTTAAATACCGCAGGGGCTTTATTAGCACATATATTTGGAATTTTAGAGTTAGGGTATATTTCATGGTTACTTAGGTCTAGTGGGAGAAATGGATGACAAACCAAGTCAACAAACAAAATCCCCCCAAATAACAGATTTTAATAAGACCTATGAAGGAGTCAGAATTAAGGGAGGGAGTACCTCTTACAGAGAGAGTAGTCAGGGAAGGCATCTCTGAAGAGGTGACTGTTAGGTAGAGGTCTGAAGATAAAGAACCAGCTATGTGATGAGTGAGCATTCCAGGCAGAGGGAACAGCATGTGCAAAGATGATGGTGTCTTCAAAACATAACTTTATGGGGTTAATTTCTGGTCCTTTGGCATAGGAAAGCCATGATCCAGGGAGTCTGGTGTTTTGCTAAACATATGTGGCTATGTTCTAGCGTGAACTGGCTGTGATCATTTATGATTTTGAGTACCATTAATTACAAATGCCTGCTTCCTTTGACAGGTGGTCCCCAGACGAGACATGCCAAGACATGCAATTTTAAAGGAGAATATTTCCACTGGCTGCCAGTTTATTGAAATTTATCAACAGACTGAAACGGAATCAGATGGACATATAACAATGTCTCTGACACAGCTTCTGTCTGCTTATCATGGATGAGGGGGTCCCAGCATAAACAAAAAATCATCATTGTTAGTAGGAGCCAAGTGCTGACTGAGCTGCAGGCAGGCCTACCCTTTAATAAATCACCTTTTAATGTTCCTTATGTTCCCTTATCTCCATTTTTAGAGATGAGGAGACAGTTGGAAACAGTTGCCCAGGTCATTCAACAGTTAAATGTGGAGCTGGATTCAAATACAGGCCAGGCTGACCGGCTTCTGAGCCCAAGACAATTGTTCTGTTGTGGGCCTGGGATGGTCTTTCCTCAAGTCAGGCTCCTTGACCGTATGTCCCATCCTGTTGCCATCCCGTAAACGGCATTTTCTTGCAGAGGCTAAGCAGATACCATCAGGAATGAAGATCCTGGCCCAAGCCCACGCACTCTCCAAACACATGCAGACTGAAGAGTAACAGTCCTCTAACACTGGCGTCAGGTTCTTGAAGACCCAATCTCAGCAGACGGAACTAATAGAATTGACTGATTCCTTAATTGCTCTAGGTGGAATGGGGCGGAACCTGCTGTGTCTTAGTGCGCCAGTGGAGGGGACAGTCAAGCCTTCTGTGGCTGGGTCCCTTCTGCCCAAAAGCTGTGTATTCGCATGCACCCCCACAAAGAGCTCCACACATTCTTTCCTGTGCTGCTGTGTCTCAGGGGAATGCTGCTTCTAGAGGGCTGAGAGCTCAAAGCAACTTCTTGGAACCATATGGAAACATGGGATGCCGGGCTGGGCTGCCTGGGGTCAGGCACTGCGAAAGCAACTTCCATCACTCACACAAAAAAGCAGACCATCGCCATGTCTTCCGAGCCTAGAGCAATCACACAGGCCTGGCCCCAAACCGGTCTTCCAGAGGAACACCTACCTCACTGTGCGCTGAAACTGAGGGTGGGGAACAGTTCACTTTGGAGGCAGCCGGAGAAAAGGAGCTCCCTAAAAATAGCCATCCTGAGAAAGTTCTGTAAATTGGAATTTGTGAATCACTGAAGCTGAAAAACATCTGATTCAGCAGTGCCTAGGGCGTTCCAGAAGCTTCAGCCATTAGGCTTTGGAGCGCAGACAAAAGGATGTGTGCAAAGCAGAAAGCCAGATGCAGAGCGCTGAACCAGGCCTGCTGGTTCGCTCCGGAGAGGCCGTGGTTGTGGGTTTAATCCCTGTGAAGTCCAGATGGTCCCTGGTGGTGGGTACCACTTGGGCTGAGTCCTCATAAACACCATTTGGGGCACCAGGATGATGAGCTAAGAGACATGAAGGGCTTGGGGAAAGCTGCCTTCCCGTTTAGAGAAACAACTCATTATTGCACGCTCAGGTCCTTTTGGGATCCAGAATAGTAGTGGGCGGAGGAGACAGGCAATACACAAACAGAAATATGATGAACGGTGATGAGTCCAAGAAATAAAGCAGGACAAGGAGACGGGGGTGCAAAGATTCTAAGTTTTCTTCTGGGAGCGTTGAGTTTTTACATTTAGATGCACGATACGCTTTAAGGTAACTTTTGTTTACCGTATGGGGAAAGGGTGGAGTTGCATTTCAACGCTTTCATTCTCCCAAACCTTGAATGTGATCATGTGGAAAAGGCCATGATGGTGACATTTTTGGGATGTCTCCCTGGACTCTGTGAAGCTTGTAGTGACCAGGAGAAGTTAGGGCCTCCTTCCCTATTAAAATAAATGTCAGTACCCCTGGGAGGAATCACACAGTAAGCCGCTAAACCCTAGCCAGGCATCAGTGTTTCAGGAGGGATATATTAAGTGCCGAGAGTAAGAATGGAGAACATAGGCCCCTTGGGAAATGGGACAGGATGAGAAAGCAAGGGAATTCTCCCAGGGAAAGTGGGAGGGATGCTCTGAAATTTTGCCTCAAGCTGAGCCACTTAATTATGTGTCCCTTGCCTTCTTGGGTTTGGGTCTCATAATAAGTGATGTCTGGTAGGTTACAGGTCCCCCTCCCCCCATACTCATTTTTAACTTGTAGTTGCCTCTCAATTGTTCC